GAACTGTATGAAATTGTAAAACGTGACGTCTCAGATTTCTTAATTTTTTGGCAGCAACAACGAAAAGTTTAAATTTTTTTTAGCGAAAAACCTTCCACACAGAAATAAAAAAAAATTAAGTTTGTGGTTATATCAAGGCGAAATTTTGAGAACGGTCCGTTGCTAACTCTAAATATAAAGAACGACGCACTGGAAAAAGTTAATAAACAAAACTAAAACAAAAAAAATGGATCCTATATTTTCAATTAGAGCTCTAGCAATATGTACATCGGTGAAAACTGCATTTAACTCCATACATTAGCTTTTGCGTGATGCGCTTACAAACATACAGACAAACATACCAAAATTTTATATTTGGCTTCTGTTGATCTAATAAACCCCCTATTAATTTTTTTTAACATCTATTATGTACAGATATCGACCTGTTGCAATTTTATTATTCTCAAATACTCTCGCTTGATACACATATGGCAATACTTAGTTTATATTATAAATTTAACTGAATTAAAGTTTTCAAATAGGTGGCAACCATCCACAAAAATATTTTCAGCTGTAAGCCTTTGTAAATTTCTTTCTTTTGACAGCCATATTACAGTATTCACTTTACCGTATCAATTGACCTAAATTGAAATTTTAAACACAGGTGGCAACTAATTTTTTCTTCTATATTGGAAGCTAGATCTCTAGCGATACATCGGTGAAAACTGCATTCAATTCCAAGTTTTCACCTGATGCGCGTACAAATATACAGACAGACAGAGATTCAAAAATTCTAAAAATTGTTTATTTGGCTTCTGTACCTTTAATAAAAACCCACCATATTAATTTTTCTTTAATATCTATAAGGTACAGACATCGACCTGCTACAATTTTATTATATGTATAGATGTGGATATAGATTTCATTTCATTCATGTGGCAGCCCTCCCTAAAAATATTTTCGGCAATAAAATTTTCTAAACCCCATATTGCAATATTAAATTGATCTTATAAATTAAATTAAATATAAATTTTCAAACAGGTGGCAACTCTAAAAAATTATTTTTGGCTGTAATCCTTCTTCAGCCTCCTTCTGTTGACGCCAAATATTGCAAAATTAATTTTTTCATATCAATTTACTTCAACTACAATTTTCAAACAGGTGGCAACTCTCTAATTTTCTTCTTTTCATATTTTAAGTTAGACCTCTAGCAATACATCGGTGAAAACTGCATTCAAAACCATGTATTCGTTTTCGAGTGATGCGCGAACAAACATACAGACAGACAGACAAAAATTCTAAAAATGGTTGATTTGGCTTCTGGTGTTCTAATAAAGACCCCCCACATTAATTTTTCTTTAATATCTATAATGTACAGACATCGACCTGTTACAATTTTATTATATGTATAGATGAGATTGACGTCATGACAGGTGTCGCACTATACAATGAGATTTCATACATTAAAAAACAAGTTAATTACTCGCAAGGGGTCACGATTCAATAGAGCAGCGATGCGTCCTCCATTCGCAACGGGTTGATCGGTACAAAAGTATAAGCTTTCGCATGCGTTAGGAAGATAGAGGGCGCACGGGAAGGTTTCAACCAGTGCTGCTAATTTTCGAGCGAAGTGAAAACACACTAAAAGTAAAGTGTTTCGGAGTGACTTGAAAGGAAAAGTAAAGTGATTACCGAAGTGACGACTTTCAAGCACAATTGGGGGTGTGAGGTTTTTCGATAAAGTTATTTATCAGCTAATTGGTTAATCGACTTTTTTATTATCACAGTTATAGTAATCTTTAACCTTTATTAATTTATAATTTATTGTGTTTCTATGCAAGTTTAGTGTTGAAATATTTCAAACGTTGAGGAAAGACAATGAAAAATTACAGTTCACTGGTGATATTAACACTAAAATATAAATCGATAATTGATCCACAACAACAAGGTCATCACCAGATTTTGGAGATAAATCTAATTTGTGGAAAGTGAAGTAAATGAAGTGACAAAGTGCAAGCGCCCAAAGTGACGTGAAAAACTTCAATTCAAGTGACAGCGGCAGCACTGGTTTAAACCAGCGCGACTGATATGACTACAAGGAAATAGCTACTCCGGATTTAAAAACTAGAAGTCATTGGCGGATTTTTTTTTACAAAAAAATTAAACTAAATTTAAATTCGCATAGCTTAATTAGGAAATCTAAACCAATTGAGCTCATCTATGGATATTCTGAGGTAGTACTATAAAACTATATTTGAATAAAGTTCTTATAGTTTCATTCTACAAAAAACATCAAAACCAATTGAATTTATCTACGGATTTTTCGAATATTCCCCTAAATAACTAAAAACAACTTTAATCTTACGTATGAGCTAGTAATGTCGTACAATAAGCCTTTATGTAAACTCAAATTATTTAATAACACACGCCAACAACGGTCAACAGAAACCCTATGTACTGGCAAGGTGGATGTATGATGCCATCTCCAAATCCATTTTAACTTTTTCCGCATCCGTATGGTATAAGAACGCGGAAGTGAATTCCACGTAGCTCCAGGCTCAGTAAGCTACAACGGTTGGCCTAAGTGGGCAACAAGGAATAGGCTCTACAGTTTACAGCAAGGCTGATCTCAGGGGACAATGTGGAGGACAAGAAGATGGGCTGCACCTTAGATTTGTGGACCTGCGTCTTCCGAGGTTTAACTTTACACAATACTTCAAGGTATTTTTCCCCGACAGGAACAACTAGGACAAAGAACGACCTCTGGTATACTGATGGCTCTAAGACTGACCACGGCGTCGGTGCAGGAGTTTACGGCATACAACCCAGACGGCTCCTTTTCACCAGCATTGGGCAAGGTAACTACATATTTCTTTAGGCCGAGGTCCTAGCCATTGAACTATGCCTGAGGCAGTATCTGGAAAGTGAGGCAACCAACAAACACCTCAAAGCTGCTGTGAGACTGCCTTCACCTTTTAATACTTATATCGCCTGCAGGGACCGGGTATACCCTGCTCCTTTTCTGGCGGGAATATATGTGTCCCGGTACCCATAAAACTCTTGGAAACAGATTTTTAGCTGGAGGCGACTTTAATGCTAAACATATTTACATACTAATACATAATTCCTGTGGGGCTGCCGAGGGATTCACGAGCCCAGTACCCTTTACTGACCTGTCATGGAGCTCCGTTAGGCGAAGATACTATATATGCATGAAAAACGGAGTGGAACATTACTGGACAAATACGTAGGCTTAGTTCTTCATTCTGGAGTAGGCATGAAGTAAGAATTGTTACAGATTTTCATACTGGCCACTGTAGGGCAAGGAAGCACTTGTCAAACATAGGAGTTGTTAACTCTGATCAGTGTAAGTTGTTGCAGAAAAGAACACGAAGGAGCAGAGCACACTATGTGCCACTGTGAGACCTTCACCAGACTTCGCTTCCAACGCTCACCAGCCATACCTAGAAGCACACGATCTACATGGCATTCAGCCAAAGGACGTCGCGAGGTTTCTTAGCAATACGCGGATCAAAGAAGACCTTTACTCGAATAGAGGTTTCTAACAATAGATCGCTTCGGTCGCCCTGCTCTCTCCTCTAAATCTAATCTAACATATATTTCCGAAGGATTTTGGAGTGCTGAATCGGAATCAGAATAAAATAGTAGAATTGCTCTATCACGTCAGATTTTTGAGGTATCGCTATTTAAAAAAAAAAATCAATACAGAGGATATGAAAGTACAAGATGCACTCTTTTAAATGCCGTTAGGTTTGCTCAAGTGTGTATTTTTTTCGCAGAGATTTCGAGTTTTGAAATTTTTAGTATCCATGAAATACATTGAAACATTTTATTGAGCTTGAGGCCGTTTTTAATGAAAATTTTTGGGGAAAAGCAACGATATTTACATTTGGTAGAAATCATTGCTGCTATTTCGGAGACCATGACATCTCCTCATCAGACTTCTTCATCGAGTTAACTGGGACTTGAACCAGCAACTTCGTGATTCTAAGCTGGTGGTTTTACCCCCTGAGCCAAGTCCACCATGTAAACTGTTGCTTTTCCACTTTTTTTTATTTTGGCAACCCAACGGCAATCAAGGGCAACTAATTTCCTGCTTTCTAGATTTGATCATGTCGTTGTTTTGGTTGTTTCTATTTTTAGCTACGTTCTATTATTAACTTGACTTGCATGACATCGTACTAGGTGATATGCCTTTATATATTGAAAAATCAATTAGATCCGGGATTTTATTTCTGCAGTAAGTGGGCGCTCCGGAGGAAAGCGAGAGTAACTCAAATTTGCTTAAAGCAAAGTATAGCTGGCTTCCTTTGGGAATTATGTATTAGTATGTAAATATGTTTAGCATTAAAGTCGCCTCCAGCTAAAACTCTGTTTCCAAGAGTTTTATAAAATTTTTCTTAATCTTTAGTCTTGACTGTGTGTGTACATGTAGGTATTGCGGAGATGGTTAAAGGCCTTTTTAAACATTCGACAATAATATTTGTAGCCTAGAGAGCTTTTTTGGGGCACAACTTTTTGTTTTCTGGTGCATTTTGCCCTTCGTATTAAAATCCCAGAACCGGTATGCGCTTTATTGTCTGGATGTAATTTGTGATAGAATTAATAGTCTGGGACTTAAAAGTGCCTCTTATCATTGAAGTGGGTCTCAGATAAAAGAAGTATATCTATATTAAAGAAAATGCTTTGAAAATCCGTTTGCGTTCCATATAGAAATATTCATGATAAAAAATAATATCGATTTATTAAACTCTTAAAAAGTTGAGTACAGTGTTTAAATGGTCTAAAACCAAGGCCCAGCTGTGGACTGAACGAATCATGTTCAGCATAGACATATACATATGATCAAAATTTTGTGTCCAGTTTTAAACTGACCAGAAATATATGTCCAATATCTAGTTTCAAGCACTCAATTATGTATATAAAGAATGAAATTAACGTATATATATGTATTATTCTCATATCTTTGTATAAAAATGATAGGTATCCCGAATACATACCTGCAGGGTTTGCACCATTGGTTCTGCTGATCTAAGCCAAAGCGGGCACGGCACTTTTTCATATTATTACCTAGACATAAATCAAGTAGTTGAAAGTAAAAAAGAAATTAAGTAAAATGTACATAGAGGCAAAATTGTATGTCATATGTATCATAAAATGCACGGACACACATATTTAATGACAATCAAGTATTCAATAGAGTAAGAACTAAAAGTATTTCAAAATAAAGTTTTATTTTTTCTATTTTAATAGATACAATTACTACTACTTTAGTACAATACATATATACATACATACATATCGTCGTTTAAAGTACAAAACCGCGTATCAACAAAATACAAAACCGCATATGTGAGGTTGCATAAATTATTTTCTAGGGAGTAAAAACACTCATATTTCAAAATGGTTCTCTTTTTTTTAATCGCATTTCTGGCTGGTATATTTCAGGACGAATGGATAAGGTTGAGCCAAGAGTTTGAGTGAGCAAATCCAATTTTTGGCAGCAAATGTCAGTTACGCGGTTTTGCAGAATGACGATACACGGTTTTGTACTTTAAAGTACGATATGTAAATGTGAAATAAGTGTGTGTGTGTCTAACTAAATGTGAAATGAGTGTGTGTGTGTTAGTAGGCGCTCTAGCAAGATTTTTATTTATTTTAAAGTGAAAATAATTTATGACTACAAACATGCTATTTTACATACATTTAAAGGAATATTTTTTAATGCAATCGTCGAAAGTAAGCAACCGAAGCTGAATACCAACCACCTTGGCCCGCCCCCATAATCCCATTCATGGTTGAAATGTCAAGAGAAAATTTTATAAAAAATTACTTTAAACGATATCGCGTGAAACTACAGACTCAGGGCACTTTTGAGGAGTTGTCGCCGAGTAAAGAGGGTGTGGGGGCTCCGTTGGTCACATATGTATGGCCTGCTGTTGGTAAGATGAGCGTCCGGCCAGCAAGGTGGCTAAATACTTCTGGTCACGGGCAGATTGGAGGCGGCCTAAAGAGATATTTTAGCCAAGCAAGACGTATCCCTCGATGAGGATCAACATCATCTCAAGTCCTTAGAGTAGAACTCCACAAAACGCTTTTCAGGCGTACACCACTTTTCAGGATTTCAGCACTTTATTCAACTACTAGCCCATGCCATCCTGCTTCGCGGAGCCTGGTAAGATCTTTTGCGTTGGCCAATGCAAAACTACCGTTCAAAATGGGTAAAGAAGGATTTTCAATCCAGGTTGAAGCAACTAAAGAGCAGAACCTTCCCCACACATAGGCCAAGAATAGTAGAGCTAGATATAATATGGAATACTAATTCCTTTCGATATCATGAGCTTTAACCATGCTCCCTTTTCTACCTGTGAGATCTTTTCTAATCGAGAGTATTCTTCTCCTTTGAACTTGCAACGACAACATTGGTCAGATGCGTCAACCTCCAGTCTTTTGCCATGTAAGCCAATAAAAGTCCTTATAAGGAAACTGGAGAGCACATATGTGTGTTTTCTGTTATAGGAGGGCCAAGAATCCTCGCTGTTTCACAGGTTGAAGAATGTGGTCGAATCTTTCCTTGCTAATTCGCCACCTTTACAAATTGTCTTATATCCAGGAGTGTGAGGACATATATTAATTTGATTCCATAAACCTGGGCTATCTCGATCATAGATCTATGGTATTCAGTAATGGAATTTTCGTTGTCTACGTGTGAGTGTAAAGCTTTAAGGGCTGCCTGACTGCCGCAGAAGAAAAATACTGGTTTGTTCTCTCTAGGTCTTTGATCAAGATTTTGTGTTGTCTCCTAAATGGAAAACACTTCTTCTTGATACACCCGTGATGTGATTTAGGGTGTATCAGAGCGTGAGACAGAGGTGCACTTACACAATTTTTCGCTTTTTGTGTGCATACCTACTTAAACCCATCCTCAATTTGGCCAAATCAGACCAGACGTAAGGGGATATTTAGGAACCCATCGCATCGCAGCGCTATCTATTGAGTCCATTTTTTTGCATAAGCATTGCTATTATTATTTCCACATTATGAATTTATGTATTTTACACATGCATGTATTTATAAAAAAAGTATTCAAGTAAAAATGGTGGGTGGACACTGTGGTAAAGTTCATTTACCACCTCTGCATGATTGTAAGTCTGGCAGAATCCGCAAAAGGCTTCGGAAGCATTGTCCGGAGGATGCAGTTGACTAGGCCGCGCATACTTTGAGCTGCGATCAAATTATAACTTAAGAAATTTTTATTACACGGCAAAAAATTTCATAAATTTATGTATATAGATAAGATTTATATGTTGGCGTGAGAGCTGAAATCCATAACCAGTGTTGCCACACATGGGCCTTTCCCACCAAAACTGCTAGGTTTTTTTCCATTTGATAGGTTGGTAGGCTAGATTGGTTTTTGGTAGGTTCCATAACAATGAGTTGGTAATAGCTATTTGCAAAAAAATAGAAAATATGTATATCCAAATATTTTGGAAACCTTGTTTACTCGAATTTTTTACCGTTGCGTTCGTATAACGGCGACCGCAAACATGTACCTCAGTTCTAAGTACAAACGTATACCCTTGTTATTGTCAATATTAGCTGATTACGCATCTGATGTTAGTTATTCAAAACTCAAAATAGCGGTAGTAATATAGCGATCAATTTTTTAAAAAATTAGTGGATTTGTTCGAAACTCGGTACTCGGTAGTTTTTGGGGTCGCTGATTACAAATTTAAGTAAATTTTTTTAAATTCAAAACGGCAGATCTAACATGGCGATCAATTTCTTAAAAATTACTAAAATTAAAACGTTGAAAATGAAAGTTTGAAGCATTGTCATGGGTTAAAACACGTTACCAGGGGGTTTCTGGGGTCGGTGATTACAAATCTGATGTCAGATTTTTTAAATGACAAAAAAATGATTGAATTGCGATCCGCCATTTTGAATTTTGAAAATCTGCTGACGTCAGACTCGTACACAGAAACCCACTGGTAACAAGTTTCAACCCATGACAGTGCTTAAAACTTTCAGTATCCGCCATTTTGCATTTTAAATTGACTTCAGATTCGTAATCAACGACCCCAAAAATTCCCGAGTTCCGAGTTTCGAACCAATCCAACCATTTTTTTCAAATTCATTGCAATTTTGGTAACGCCATTTTGAGCGAAGCCAGAAATCCCCTGGTAACGAGTTTGAACCCATGGCAATGCTTAATACGTTCAGTATCAACGTTTTAATAGAGCAGTCTCTTTTCGAAAGGGAATATTCCCCAATAATATCTGAGTAATTACATGTAAAAACCACATTTTTAGCTATAACATGTCACGAAAAGAAAAAAACTGAAAACATCGGCGCTTTTATAAAAAACCGACTAGCGCGACCTGCAAATTTTTTTCTGTTAAAAAAAAAATACGTTTATTTTTTTATCCAGCCCAGTATCCTCCCTGAAGTCGAACCCATTAGAAGAATGGGAGGAGCTGAAAACTGCATTCCTTTGTTGTATAAACAAGCACGATTATATTCACATATACATAGTTGCAACATCTGTTCCTTGCAAACGATTCTTTTCGAAAGCAGTAGCAACAATAACCACGTCAAGAAATCGTTTGACTGGCAAACATTTGGAAAAACTTCTATTCTTGGGAAGTACAACAAAAGAAGAATTTTTCCGGTGAAATATTTTATTAATAAATGTTTTCTTAAATAAGGTTAACTTGTAATCTTTTCCAATGTATATGTATCTGTAAATACCATTCATCATTATTTATTTATTTATTTTTTTACATTATTAAATTTTATTATTCGGAGCTAAGGATTCCCAGAGGATCATTAACTTGTGATTAAAAAATATAAATTTAACCTAATACACAATGAGTACCGGTACGAGTAGGTGTCGATACTTTAGGTCCGATATTTTTCAGGCATCGATACTTTTTTTCGATAATACTTCCAAGTAAAAGTATTGATACCTGCATGGTATCGTTTCATCCCTAGTCTCGCAAAGTGTGGAGCCCAAATGCGCTTGCATGGTCCCGAGTCATTCTGCGGTACATCTAAAAGATTCATTGCTACTTAGGAGCTGGAAAGAATCTCAGATTGCTGCCCACTGGCGGAAGTCAAAGGGAATAAGACAATCAAAGACATACATAACTCCTTCCAGGAGAAACTCCGAAAGACTCCTTGAACTTAGAACTCTTAATTGCTAACTGAAAGCACACTGCAAGTTATGGTACCATTTGAATAAAATGGGTATTTCTGAAGAGATCGCCTGTAAGTTTTGTGGACTGGTGAAGGAAACCCCAGAGTACCTGCCCACGAAGCATGAATCGTATACTGATACACCTTGGAGAACGATTGTCTCCTCCATCTAAAATTTGGAACATGGCACCGTCCAAAGTGTCTAGCTTTTAAAATAGCCTAAGGTGGAGTGATTACAGTTACGATTTAGCACAATAGATCTTCTTAGGTCGCAGCGCGAGTAAAGATGCGCGGCTGTTTTGACGGCGAAAAAGGACGCGTGAAAAAATTATGAAAAAGACACTTGAAAAGCTTCGGCAAAGAAAAATGCGTAAACCTAGATTCATACCTAGCCGAGGACTATTACTTCAACATCGTTCCCGAAAACTCTTTAGTAAATTCGTATACTGTTACACTCGCAAACATAGTTAACAGCGAAACATAGTTTATGCGGTTTTCTTCGCCGTCAAAGAGGTCAACACGTCTTTCTTCTCCGTCAACTATGTTAAGAGTCTTTCTTCGCCGAAGTTTTTACGCGTCTTTTTTCGAGGTCAACTTTCGAGCTCGCATCTTTATTCGTATCTAGTGACGATATGTATGTGTGTGTAAAGAGACATACATTTCGTCACCTGAAATGCAAAAAAGACGTAACAACATCGTAATCGGAATCGGGATTTGGGGCACAGCGTGCAATTTAATTTTGAATAGACTTCAAATACTGCAGTCGAAAATTTACGCGCCATATGCGGAGCACCATGGTACATAAAAAATACGAATATCCACAAAGCTCTTAATGTAAATACGGTGCATGAGGGCATAAGAGGGCTAAGCAC